GGGGGGTTTGGGGGGGGGGGGGGGGACGGGACACCACCAGGGGGCGCTTATCTGTGACCTTGACGCAACATTGGCCAGGTGAGAGAAAACAAAGACGTGTCAAGCGTTGTCGTGCACGTCAACGGTAACAGAACTGTGTGGATGTCAATGTGGATGTCAATGTGGATGGCAATGTGGATGGCAATGTGGATGGCAATGTGGATGGCAATGTGGATGGCAATGTGGATGGCAATGTGGATTACAATGTGTGCGAAATGTGGGTGGCAATGTGGATTACAATGTGTGCGAAATGTGGGTGGCAATGTGGATTACAATGTGGGCGATAATGTGGGTGGCAATGTGGATTACAATGTGTGCGAAATGTGGGTGGCAATGTGGATTACAGTGTGGGCGATAATGTGGGGGGCAATGTGGATTACAATGTGGCGATAATGTGGATGGCAATGTGGATTACAATGTGTGCGAAATGTGGGTGGCAATGGGGAGGGCAATGTGGACGTCAATGTGGATGGCAATGGGGAGGGCAATGTGGACGTCAATGTGGATGGCAATGTGGGCGATAATATGGATGGCAATGTGGATTACAATGTGGGCGATAATGTGGGTGGCAATGGGGAGGGCAATGTGGACGTCAATGTGAATGGCAATGTGGGCGATAATGTGGATGGCAATGTGGATTATAATGTGGGCGATAATGTGTGTGGCAATGGGGAGGGCAATGTGGATGTGGGGGGTAATGTGGGTGGCAATGTGGATTACAATGTGGGCGATAATGTGGGTGGCAATGGGGAGGGCAATGTGGACGTCAATGTGGATGGCAATGTGGGCGATAATGTGGATGGCAATGTGGATTATAATGTGGGCGATAATGTGGGTGGCAATGGGGAGGGCAATGTGGATGTCAATGTGGATGGCAATGGCTAGGTCAATGTGGACGTCAATGTGGATGGCAATGTGGGCGATAATGTGGATGGCAATGGGGATTACAATGTTGGCGATAATGTGGATTGCAATGTGGGCGATAATGTGGGTGGCAATGGGGAGGGCAATGTGAACGTCAATGTGGATGGCAATGTGGGCAATAATGGGGAGGTCAATGTGGATGGCAATGTGGGCGATAATGTGGATGGCAATGGGGATTACAATGTTGGCGATAATGTGGGTGGCAATGGGGAGGGCAATGTGGACGTCAATGTGGATGGCAATGTGGGCGATAATGTGGATGGCAATGGGGAGGGCAATGTGGGCGATAATGTTGGTGGCAATGGGGAGGGCAATGTGAACGTCAATGTGGATGGCAATGTGGGCAATAATGGGGAAGTCAATGTGGATGGCAATGTGGGCGATAATGTGGATGGCAATGGAGATTACAATGTTGGCGATAATGTGGGTGGCAATAGGGAGGGCAATGTGGACGTCAATGTGGATGGCAATGTGGGCGATAATGTGGATGGCAATGGGGAGGGCAATGTGGGCGATAATGTTGGTGGCAATGGGGAGGGCAATGTGGGCGATAATGTGGGGGGCAATGGGGAGGGCATTGTGGGCGATAATGTGGGTGTTAATGGGGAGGGCAATGTGGACGTCAATGTGGATGGCAATGTGGACGTCAATGTGGATGGCAATGGGGAGGGCAATGTGGACGTCAATGTGGATGGCAATGTGGGCAATAATGTGGGTGGCAATGGGGAGGGCAATGTGGACGTCAATGTGGATGGCAATGAGGAGGGCAATGTGGACGTCAATGTGGATTACAATGTGGGCGATAATGCGGGTGGCAATGGGGAGGGCAATGTGGACGATAATTTGGATGGCAATGCGGAGGGTAATGTGGTCGTCAATGCGGATTACAATGTGGGTGGCAATGGGGAGGGCAATGTGGACTTCAATGTGGATTACAATGTGGGTGGCAATGGGGATGGCAATGTGGACGTCAATGTGGATTTCAATGTGGGCGATAATGTGGGTGGCAATGGGGAGGGCAATGTGGGCGATAATGTGGGTGGCAATGGGGAGGGCAATGGGGAGGGCAACGTGGACGTCAATGTGGATTACAATGTGGATGTCAATAGTGCGGATGCCAATAATGCAGATATCAATAATGTGGATGTCACTAATGTGGATGTTAATAATGTGGATGTCAATAATGTGGATGTAGTAATGTGGATGTGAATAATGTTGATGTGAATAATGTGGATGTCAATAATGTGGATTTCAATAATGTGGATTACAATGCGGATGTTAATAATGTGGATGCCAATGTGGATTTCAATAATGTGGATTTCATAATGTGGATGTCAATAATGTGGATGTCAATAATGAGGATGTCAATAATGTGGATGTCTAAAATGTGGATGTCAATAATGTGGATGACATTTGGATGTCAATGTTGACTAAAAATATGGATGACAATGTGAACGACAATGTGGATGTCAATGGTTTACAAATGAGGTCACTGGATTTGATGCATGATGTTCTGACACTTTTGTTTATATTGAGGACACATTTGTGACACAGGTATTGTTGATGATCGACAAGACACAGGTAAATCTGATGATCACAAGACACAGGTAACTTGAATGATCCACAAGACACGGGTAAATCTGATGATCACAAGACACAGGTAACTTGAATGATCCACAAGACACGGGTAAATCTGATGATCTACAAGACACAGGTAACTTTGATGATCTACAAGACACAGGTAAATCTGATGATTACAAGACACAGGTAACTTTTTTAGATGTTGATGTGTCTAAGTAGAGAAGATGTATGAACACATTATCGGGGAATTCCTGAAATAAATCAACAATTTGTGGATATGATGATGACAGGTGACTGCATCAATAATTTTTGGCAATTGACTACCAGGGGGGGGGGGGGGGGGGGGGGGGGGGGGGGGCAGCGTGGGACAGATGTCCATGGCCGTCAGGCTAGATAGGTGGGTTACCGGAAATTTGATCGAAAGAAATTTCGTCGACGGTAAATTGATCGACGGTAATTTGATCGACCGGAAATTTGGTCGAATCTTTTTTTCAGTTCACACGTTAAAATTTTCGTCAAATTTCTATTTGAACGTACTATACTATATGGTAAACAAAATAATGTGTTCAAAAAGACATTTGAAGCAAAATTTAAACATAAAAACGGAAAAAAAGATTCAACCATATTTCCGTTCGATCAAATTACCGTCGATCAATTTACCGTCGACGAAATTTCTTTCGATCAAATTTCCGGATACGAGATAGGTGAGTCAAATTGCGCTTGGATATTATGATATTGATGAAAATGATGGGTTTGAGAGTTTGAACAAAGTAAGGGGGTGGGGTGCTTTCAAATGAATCTTGTCCCCTGGCACCAAACACTCTAGCTACACAACTGGTGACGCCATCGACAATTTGTATATATGATGATGGCAAGTGACAACATCAACAATTTCTGAATATGATGATGGCAAGTGACTTTATCAACAATTTGTTGATATGATGATGGCGAGTGACTGTATACATCAACAATTTCTGAATATGATGATATCAAGTTATTGTATCAACAATTTGCGGATAGGATGATGTCACATGACAACAATTTCTGGATAGGATGATGGCACCTGACAACATCAGCAATTTCTGGATGTGATGATGGCACGTGACTACATCAACAGTTTGTGGGTATGATGATGGCAAGTGATGGCAGTGGAATGCTCAGTCCGATGGTTGATGCGGCTGATCGCCAAACATTTTGAAGTTGAAATGAACTGTCGCTCAGAGGCCACACGCGTCGCTCCGCGGCCACCCGCGTCGCTCCGCAGATCAGGTCACGTGGTTCGTCCCCGACGACGCCAACGCAAATGGAAGGTTCTGGTAAAACGACAGGTCACGTGACGTGTTGAAGTAGGTCAAGTTGAAGAGCATCTCGTCCAGGCAGTGGAGCGCGGCCGGGTGGTGGGTGATGTAGAACTTGTTGGCGAACAGCTCTTTCCTCTCGCTCATCATGGGCAGATCTTCGGGGCTGAAGATGCAGACGGACCGCGTGTGTATCGTTGCGCAGGGGTCTCTACCCCCCCAGGAGGCGTACGTGGAGAGCCACGGTTTCTTGTCTGGCGGCCCTGTGCAACAAATGAACAGTATAGGTTGATCGTCTAGGTCACATGTGTGATCACTCAGTGTAGAAGATGGGGATTTGACTGTGTTTATTGTGCATTCAGTGAGTATAGAGATGGCGACCTGACTGTGTTTATTGTACTTTCAGTTTGTAAAGAGATGGTGACCTGACTGTGTTTATTGTACATTCAGTGAGTATAGAGATGGCGACCTGACTGTTTATTGTACATTCAGTGAGTATAGAGATGGCGACCTGACTGTGTTTATTGCACTTTCAGTTTGTAAAGAGATGGTGACCTGACTGTGTTTATTGTACATTCAGTGAGTATAGAGATGGCGACCTGACTGTGTTTATTGTACATTCAGTTAGTAAAGAGATGGTCACCTGATTGTGTTGCTGCACATTCAGTTAATTTAGAGATGACGATATGACTGTGTTTAATGTGCATATAGCTAAAGAAGTGATGGTGGTGCGACATCTTTAATGTGTGTTCGACTAAAGATGATGATACCGATACTATCAAGACTTAAGGGCGTCTCGTGGACTTTGATAGCGCCCCAGTTTATAACAATAGAAGGGGATAAGGGCGTCCCTTGGACTTTGATAGCGCCCCCGTGTATAGCAATAGATGGAGATGAAAAAAAAATGTAGCAGATCATTTTATTGATTAGACATGAACACAATTTTTTATGGGGCAATAAAGGGGAAGGTATTGTCCCATTTTTACATACAGACGAAAGAAGATATTAAACTAGAAAATAATTGATAGCCAGTGTTAGTTATGAGCTAGATGTGAGGTTGGACAGTGGTTGGTGGGATATTGTTAGGTGGGGCAGAGGTTGGTGAGTAGAGGTTGGTGGGGCAGTGGTTGGTGGGACAGTGTTAGGTGGGGGCAGTTGTTGGGTAGAACAGTGGTTGTTGGGACAGTGGCGGGTGGGGGAGTGGTGGGGGGGGGAGTGGTTGGTGGAATCTTGATGAGTGGGCAGTGGCTGGGGGGGCAGTGGTTGGGGGAATCTTGATGGGTGGGGCAGGGGCTGGTGGGTGGGGGAGGGGGTGGTGGGACAGTGGTTGGTGGGAGCTGGAGGGGTGGGGCAGTGGCTGGTGGGACAGTGGTTGGTGGAATCTTGATGGGTGGGGCAGTGGCTGGTGGGACAGTGGTTGGTGGAATCTTGATGGGTGGGGCAGTGGCTGGTGGGACAGTGGTTGGTGGAATCTTGATGGGTGGGGCAGTGGCTGGTGGGACAGTGGTGGGTGGGGTAGTGGTGGGTGGGGTAGTGGTTGGTGGAATCTTGATGAGTGGGGCAGTGGCATGTGGGACAGTGGTTGGTGGAATCTTGATGGGTGGGACAGTAGTTGGTGGGACAGTGGTGAGTGGGACAGTGGTTGGTGACAATGTATCAACTGACCTTTTAACCCCACTGGTCCCCCCTTATGACAATTTTTCAACTCACCTTTAAATCCCCCTGGCACATCAATGGTCTTACTGTGATGGAGAGTGGCCCAGAAATACTCATCAGGACTGGACACCGACCGGCTCCACTCCAGGAAATCTTTGGCCACCGGGTCGTTGATGACAAAGTGAACAAACTCCCTGGAGAACGTGCCGTAGGCGCTGCCCTTGACCACTTCAAGGCCGTGTGGGGGAGGGCTGTTCTTCGTTTCCGTTTTCGTTAACTTAAATTCACCTTAGAGGAAGACAGTTCAAGGTAAAATGTCAGTCTTAAACTTGCAGATATGTCTCCGTCATCGATTGTTTAGAAGCGATGTGGTCTGGTTAAGGTTAAACACACCGAGACCAAATCTATGGATTGGGTCAAACGGTGGCATGGTAAACTGTGAGGTCAATGAGTGGGTAGGTAAAAATGGATGGATGAGTATAAAGGTAATTAAGGTAGATGTTTGGGTGAGGTTTTCTCATTCTGTTCAGCAAAACATTTCACAGAGAAACTGCAGAAACTTCAAAACTCAGCTGCTAGGCTAGTTCTAAAGGTGAAGACACGTGATCACGTCACTCCACTACTTCACTCACTTCATTGGCTCCCTATACTGGCACGCATTGCTTACAAGCTGTCTGTTCTCTGTCACAACTTTTACTCTGGTTCCTGCCCCTCCCATCTTACTGAACCTCTTTCTGCCTATTCACCCCTTCGAAAGCTTCGTTCCTCCGCAGACACGCGTATTCTTTCTGTTCCCAGAACACGCACTAAAACCTATGGTGAACGATCTTTCTCTTTCTGTTCTCCTTAAAAAATGGAATTCTCTCACACTACACATCCGCAATATAAGACCATTCCAGCCTTCAAAATTGCCCCCAATACCCATCGCTTCAAACCCTACTAGACAGACTCATTCTCACCCCCTTCTAACTGATCAACGATTCTCGATGCTGCTGGGTGCTGTCCATGGCTAGAAAGGGGTAGAGAGTACTTGGGTGGGTGAGGTAAAGCTTTTCACCAATTTGTTTTTAATCTTCTGGCATAGGCCTAGGCTGAGGTACTGTGCTATATAAAACCACCTTAATAATAATAACTAAGGTAGATTTTTGATATGGTAAAGGGTTACACAAAAGTTTGTGTAGATGTGCGAATGACGTCAAGTAATAATGTACGGAAAAGTTTGTGTGTAGCTGTGCGAATGATGTTAAGTAATAATGTATAGAAAAGTTTGTATGTTGATGTGCGAATGATGTCAAGTAATAATGTACGGAAAAGTTTGTGTGTAGCTGTGCGAATGATGTCAAGTAATAATGTATAGAAAAGTTTGTATGTTGATGTGCGAATGATGTCAAGTAATAATGTATAGAAAAGTTTGTATGTTGATGTGCGAATGATGTCAAGTAATAATGTATAGAAAAGTTTGTATGTTGATGTGCGAATGATGTCAAGTAATAATGTATAGAAAAGTTTGTATGTTGATGTGCGAATGATGTCAAGTAATAATGTACGGAAAAGTTTGTGTGTAGCTGTGCGAATGATGTCGAGTAATAATGTACGGAAAATTTGTGAAGATGTGTGAATGATGTCAAGTAATAATGTATAGAAAAGTTTGTGAAGATGTGCGAATGATGTCAAGTAATAATGTATAGAAAAGTTTGTGTTGATGTGCGAATGATGTCAAGTAATAATGTATAGAAAAGTTTGTGAAGATGAGCGAATGATGTCAAGTAATAATGTATAGAAAAGTTTGTGAAGATGTGCGAATGATGTCGAGTAATAATGTATAGAAAAGTTTGTGAAGATGTGCGAATGATGTCAAGTAATAATGTATAGAAAAGATTGTGTGTAGATCTGTGAATGATGTCAAGTATATATAGATCCAGCTTAACAGTGGTTAACTATTCTACATGAAAGGTAAACAGACTTTTTCTATCTCAAATATGTTTGTTCTCGCCAAACATCTTCAAAATGACACCCCCGTAAGCTGTACCCCCCCCCCTAATTGTGAAATACGGTTATAAAAGGATGAAGTAGATTGTGAGACAGTGGCTGAAGTTCATGTATGGGTAGAGTCCTTTTTTTTTTTTTTTAAAGAACACAATGACATTCTTTTTAAAAAGAATACAATGAAATCGACTTCCATAAAATTATGACCAATCAGCTTCAGGGGCGTAGGAAATGGGGGGGGGGGTTCCACCTCAGGCGGCACTTTTTTCTTTATGTAGAAAAAAGGGGGGGGGGGGGNNNTTTTTTTGTTTTTTTTTTTTTTTTTTTTTTTTTTTTTTTGCATTGAAAGGGTCGACAAAATTCTCGGCTCGCCCCACCCCGGCGGGACTAGCCCTAGCTACGCTGAACTCATGATCACAATTGCATGTGCTCATTATTACAGGAACTTAGAATCCATTACAAACTGCTAACACGCGGACTACTTTCCCCCAAGTCTACCTCGGAGTTACCTGTCTTGTTGTCTAGTCTATAGTCATGCTTCCATTTAAATCTCATCGACAGCATACGGTCTCCTATAATTCCTTCGATGTCGTTGGCCCCGTTGTACATCTTTAATATTCTTACCAGCTCCAAGTTGGTTCTGAGGAAGAAAACAAAGCCTGGAACTGTAGTAGACTTTTATGAGAACTAGCTGAAGTAGATCAATCTAGACAAACGGTTTTGTTAATTGGGGTTGGATTTGTCACAGCCAGTGGCGTGACATGGACGCTACATGAAAAGGGCGGGGGGGGGGTGCAAAACTGGGCGAGCTAGACACAAAAAAAAAAAATAACGTTAATATAAATAGATATAGTTATTTTTGCTCATAATATCTATGTGTGTGTTGTATGAAGATACCGTTCTTTATGAGAACTAGCTGAAGTAGATCAATCTAGACAAACGGTTTTGTTAATTGGGGTTGGATTTGTCACAGCCAGTGGCGTGACATGGACGCTACATGAAAAGGGCGGGGGGGGGGGTGCAAAACTGGGCGAGCTAGACACACAAAAAAAAAATTACGTTAATAGAAATAGATATATTTGTTTTTGCTCATAATATCTATGTGTGTGTTGTATGAAGATACCGTTCTCAGTGGAGTATTCAGTGAGGTAGGAAAATGAGTTCGAAGGTAATTTGTTTTTCCTCTCTATAGAGAGGGGGTGGCATTTTCTGCAAACTGCAGAGGTTTTTTTCATGGAAGGGGGCGGCAAAATGTTGGCCCGCCCCTGGCGGCACTAGCCCAAACTATGCACTGATCGTACTCGTTGGCCTATGCTAGTGTTTTTATTTAATTTAAAAAAAAATATCTACGTTTAGCTTGATAGACATTTCTGTTCTAAATCTTAAGTAAATAGAAATAGCTGTTTCTTTCAAGCTTGATAAAGCGGCAATTTTTGTTCTTGCCATAGACAACGATTGTCCTCGCTACGCCTCTGGACACAAAGTTAGAAAATAATGTCTTTAAGTTCTTGAAATTATTTGTAAACTTGTATGGAAACTATAAAGTTATACGTAAGTTTAATTATTTTAAATAATAAAGAAGACCAACCAGCAAATAACTGAACTTAAATCTAGGATATAGC